TGCACCGAGGACGCTTATTGCCAACCCATGAATGAATCATGCAACATTTGGACATCTGCATCATTCTGGAAATGCGCACATCAACAGCTGAGCTAGTCTGTTCTTATTCATCCAAAGTTCACCTTTCGGCAGCTCCTCACCACCAGATGTACGACCTGGGAACGCCGTAATGCTGTTCTGGGGTGAGGAGCACACTGGGACGTCTCGGATTTGAGTCTGAGAGCTCTCTTAGTTTTTTTTTTTTTTTTAAATCGAGAGCAACCCTGACTCAGTGATTACATCACTGCCCTTAGCTAAGTCAAGGATGCACAAAATCAATGCCTCTGAAGCAAATGCACAATGGGAATTCGCTTAAAAGCTAATAACATTAAGCTCCAAAGGGGGCCTGTGATGTCAGCCCACATGGTAATGTTATGTAAATCTGACCGTACGACAGCTTCGTTTAAAATCGGAGTGCACCAGATTATGCGTGATAGTGGCCCATTTCGCTCCCTCGTGTTTATCTCCGCTCCCCCCCTGTAAATAATTCAGGCCATCATTCTCAGTATTAGAAGAACACATTCAAAAAATTCGCGGAAGTAGGCCCCGGAGACTTTGCTCCGGCTTTTTTTTTTTTTTTTTCCTTCTTCCCTTTTACGCAGAGGAAGAAATTGGAAGGTACATCATGTTGGCTGGAGGCTCCATCACTCATCAATTTGTTTGTAAACACCAGATTTATGTGCAGCAGAGCAAGTTTGCGGCTCACCCGCCGTAGGCCTCTTTCTCCGTCCGTCCGCCCGCCTTTTCTCAGACGCACGCATCATCGTAGCCCGTAGCATCTTTAGGAAAAGAAGAAAAAAAAAGGAAGAATTACTAGAGAATTTCACGTTGTCAGAATCCTCCAGAAACGGAGAGAGAGGCTGGAAAACAACATGATGTAACCCGCGTATTTACTGTAAGCAAGCAGGTCAGCTGTGGATAAACAGATCATCTTTGATTTCACATTCTGCCGTACATCAGCGGCCGAAACTGCGTCCTCATATCCTACCCCCCCCCCACCCCCTGCCTGCAAAAAATGTGGCTTTTTTCTGTTTCTCCCTGTGGAGAAGTCTTGTCTTTGGCCTCTTCTTACACTGCTGCTTTCATTTAGCTTGTCTGCTAAAAGGGGGGATGAAATGTGAAATGCTGGGTGACTCACTGCTGATTTGCAGCACACAAGTAAATATGACAAATGGAGAGGATTAAATCAAGCGGGTCCTGGAAAGGCAACAGTAAAAAAAAATAAATAAATAAAAAACACAACAGGGTCTTTGAATTATTCCAACAAATTCCATCAAAGTTGATCCGAACTTACTTCATAGCTGAGTGCATTTTCTGATTGCGTTCCCCCTTTTAGCCCCGCACCTAAATAAGAAAACAAACAAACAAACAAAAACGGGACGCGCACGGCAATTAAACCTCCGTCCCAGATGTTCGCTCCGAGCACTCTGGCTGGAACTCGTTCCGTTCTCTCTGTCAGGTCACTTCCATTTTCCGTCTAAAGAGCGGACGAGAAGTCGGAGCAACAAGAAGAAACTTGGTGCCCACTTGAGTGGCTTTCAAGTGACTGTTGGAAAGAAGTGGAATGGTTTTCCTTTCGCTAGTTCACAGGCTGGTCTCTTTTTGTCTGCGGGTAAGAGGTCACCGGCTGGTTTCCAGGGCCGAAGATGCTCATTACCTGGACGATCCAATGCAAGAGAGGCCAAAAGGTCAAGAGTTAACAACCCGAAGGGGGGTGCAGAGTCAGGGCCCGTTGGAGGGTTTCAGAAATCAGTTTTTATACAATTAGAATTTCTTCAAAAGACCAAAAGGAGACGAGTCAGAGGCAGGATGCTAATGCCAAGCTTTTATTGAAGAGAGGAAAATTTTCAAAATAAGACAAAGACGACACGATGCCCCCCCCCCCTTTGACGCATCCAGCAGGAAAGAGCTGGAGGAGCTTCACACGCCACTTAAAAACTGGCACAATGGAAACATTTACTGTGTGGTTTCAGAGTTGGTCCAAACAAAGTCTTTGTTTTATTTATTGGAGTTAAAAACAAGTAAACAAAGGCAAAAAAAAATCTTTTCAGGCACAACGAAATATGAAAGATGCAGCAAGCGGTACGGTGATTCGATACCGCTGTGCTAAAGGCACTTTAAACAATGTGGAGAACAAAGATATCATCGAAAAACAAAAAATACTGAACAGACTTTTTTTTCTTAAAATCATTAACTGCTCTTCTTCTCACATGGAGCATCTTTTTTTGTTTTGCTTGTCATACATAGTTTGATGTGAGACGTGTCCAGAGTTAATCCATAAAAAAAAGTTCACATGTGACAGTTTAAGGAACCATGGCTACACTTTGTAAAAAAAAAAAAATATGCTAATAAAGCTACATGCTGAAACTATGCTTTTAACAGTGCAATTTCAACATTTTATTTTAAAATAAAGCAAAGAGAACACTTATTAGCAACGATAGGTTAAAATACAAAACATTCTTTTACTGGGAATGATTCCAAACTTATGGTGTCTTGCATGATTTTTGCAAAAAAGAAAAACACTAAGTGACTGTTTCTAACTATTTGCTCTAATTACATTAAGAAAAACTGAGTGTAGGTCTCCTTCTCTTTTGGATAACTGGTCCTGGTGGCCTTTGAAAGAGAGACTGCCTGTTCTGTCTGCTGCCAAACACACTGGCGTGCCACGTTTTCACCTTTAAACACTTTCCTTACATCTCAAAAACTAAGTTTGGTCTATATTTAGGGATAAAAATATGTTTTCGTGAACGTCTGACAAGTATAAACTCAGCTCGTAGTGTTAATTTAATAACAGCCTTATTAACACTTTAAATTTTTTTTTTACAAAGTGTTCCCATGGTAACAATGACTTGATGCTCTGTAATTAGACGGGCTGAAAACAGAAAACGGTTTCTGATGATTATGATTTTTGAACACTGCTCAATGTGAGAAGATATCAGGAAAGAAAAATGGGAGCAGAAAGAGGGAGCAGAAAGAACAACTTTGTTCGTAATACGGCCGTGAATATGCACAGGACAGGTATATACAAAGCCTGGAAAACATCCTCACCCCTTTTGTATCGTGCGGCTCACAAGCAAACTAATCCAGTTAAAAAAACCAGCAACCCTCACTGGCTCTAACTTTACTAACGGCTTTGCCTTTGCTGTTTTAAGGTACCCGGTGGAGTTTTCTTGTAAACAAAGGAATATAAGTGTCATCATCACCTGTTCCTTTAAATGGACTGTCAATCAGCAGAATAGTGCGGAATCAAGAAGAAAAAAAGCCGTGCTGCCTCTTATGGATTCTCAACGTTTAAATTTCCTGACTAAAAGAGGTGCTAAATAAAAGCTGTGTGTCAATGTAGTCACTGTGTGGTTGCGTTGTATCACTTTTTGCAGTTTTTTTTCTTTTGTCATCATAGTTTTTAATGTGTCTTGTCTTTTGTTTAGGATGGAACAAACTTAAGTGTATATGCGTCCAGTTATGCATAATTCTGCCAAGACGGGAACGCATTAAAAACATCTCTAGTTTTCCTCTAATGTTCAAAATCTCCACAGAGTACCTTCAACCCGCCCAGCTTCATCTAAATATTTATCTCTGTGTTCATTTTTAACCGTGACTATAGTGGGTCCCTTCTTCTCCCGTCGACTTTAAACAAACACAAACTAGAAAACAAAAGCGATGAAAACTTAAAACACCCAATGTGACACAGTACCAGCGGCAAAGCTCTGACCAAAGGGGTTGCGATAAGGACACTTAGACTCGAATATGTACAGGTAAAAATATTTCCTTATTCGTAAAAAGTATTATAAAGTGTCAATGCACTTAGGATTGAGGATTGCATAGGCGTGTAATATTCCTTATCTCTGCCAAAGTGCTTACAGCAAAGTCTACTCTCTGGCATGATAAATGTGGGGGGGATGTTACACTTTTGTATGTTAAAAAAAAAGATATTGAATTACAGAAATATAATTTCAATGAATGGGATTTCCTAACTGCAATGCTTTGGACACAATAAAGAACATTTACTGGTTGCCTGTTGAGAGTTTTGCTCTGGCTGGTGGAAATGACTGTTTGTACTTTCTGTGGTCTCATTTAGGAGCATGCGTAACATTTAATGTACTTGCTTATAAAACCAGAACACAGGAAGGGGAGCAGTTTAAATTCGCTTCTTTGGTGTTCAGTCATCCAGAACTGTTTGTAAAATGATGGTCTCTCGTTTTTGTGGAGTATCTTTGCACTAAGCAATCAAATTCGTACTCCAGACCATTTATGTTTTTTTGTAAATAACACTGGAGCCTAAAGTTACACACACACACATACACACACACATCAATCCATGACCTCGCTAGCTGGGTAGATGTGCCGAACATCATGCATTTTCTTTTTATAGATCATGAGAAGCAGCCGAAGGTAAACAACAGGCTTTATGTGTGGATGTGTTGCCTGACTGAAAACATACAGTGTTACTCATGTTGACCCATAATGAAACGCTAACTGATGAATAGGAAGTAAGCTGCTGGAAAACAGATTTTCTAACTAGTGGACACAACTGGATTAGCTCCTCTTCCTCACCTTCCAGTCTTCATTCCAGGCTAAACTAACTAGCCAGCTAACATGTTAAGCCGACAAAATTGATGGCAAAACCTGGCCTTCCTTCCTTCGCCAGGAAGGTGTTTAGGTCATTTTTTCCCCCCTTTCTAACTAAACCCAGTTAAATAACAAAACCTCTTTTGTGGCGATTGTACCAAGTCAGCAGATATATGAGCCTAAAGTTACTCACACATGTGAACATGAGAACATGTGAATATGTGGCGCGCCATTTTTAAAAAAAAGTATAGGTGACCATAAATACTGTGTGTATATATTCATATATGTATGTGTGTATGGCGAAGGATGCGGGTTTTTCTGTAGATTTGCGAGAGAAAGAAAGAGTGAGCGAGCTGGGTTATCACAGTGGAGAGGACTGGGCGTCGGGCCGCTCAGAGGTCAGTGGTGGCCTTGGCGGTCAGCGCCTGGATGCGGTTGGTGTTACAGTTTTTGCAGAGGACGTGTCCGTCCAGGGGATAGCAGCCCTGGTTATCCCCCTCCGAGAGCAGAGAGCCACAGTCCTGATGGACGGAGAGAGAGAGAGAGAGAGAGAGAGAGAGAGAGAGAGACTCCATCAGTCAACAAACACAAACAGAATCATTAGCTACGCTCGACGGTCCCACGCAGCCATCGCCATTCGCTCACGCCCTAAATGGCGCGTTTATCACTGCTTAAAAAATGAACTTACTGAAGGCTGTTTTTTTTCCTGCCAGCTGGTGAGTCTGGAGGGGAATAACTGGTTAGCAGTGCATGGCACGGATAACGTACATTCAAACCCGGATTTGGGTATTCGAGCATTTCTTCTGTCAGTGGACTTTATCAAAATTTGTCTCCAATTACAGATTTTAAATTGAGACAACTAACAACTTAATCATTCTTGGTTGTAAGAATATATCATGTATAAATACACACATACAGGATACTGCATAATCACAACATATTCCCAACATTGGGTTATTGCCATTTTATTTAAAAAATATCAATGTACTAATCAACTCCAGCCTGTTGAGGAGTCTTAAGTATGCGTCCTAAAAATATATATAATTGAACAAACATCAAAATGAAACATCCTATCACGATTGGATTTGTGGTGTCTCATCTTTTATTAAGAAAACAAATCTAACTTTTTTTTTTAACTGCAGTGACAACTTTATTTTTCCAGATAAAAGTTTCTTTGATCTTGTGCTAGCTCATACATTTCCCCAACAAAAATCATCCAGTTATGTCTGAACTGGAAGATTTCTGTTTATTTTACATCCATCTCTCTGAGCCAGATTCCCAGATTTATGATAAGGGTTTACGTTGGAAGGAAGTCATGGCCAAAAATTCTGCATGCGGCTCTTGAGCTTTTAGGATCATTAACCTTATGAAGAAATCATCCTCTTTTCATCTTCAACTGTCTGACAGATAGTGAAATTTTGCTCCCAGGTGGAATTAAATTCAAACAATGTCTCAACACTTCCAGAGCCCGTTAGATCCCCTTGATAGTCTTTCACACTTAAACCAGCTCACTTTAGCGTTGCCTTTCTCCACTGTGCACTTCTAAAAGTTTTTTTTTTTCCCCTCAACACAGCAACTTGACCTCAGCTATCATTTACTAAAGATATTAGGAATGCTTTGATATCTCTATACAGCCTTCTCAATCATGCTGAGCAGCTCCTTTGAGGATAAGTCAAAGTTCTTAGAAAGCTTTGAATTTTGTACCATCTGACCTTTTCCTGATGATTATTGTTAAACCGTAGCTCCAGTGTGACTATTAACATCTCGGAAAAAGCTATGGGCTCAGACTTTATGCCATTATGCTCCTGTTGTCTTAGACAAAGGCGTAACCTCCACCCTTGTGTCTCTCTTATACACACTTCATCTTATACACACTCCCTGGTGAAGCTCTCTCTTGTCGGGCTCCATTCAGCTGAAATAATCTGCTTTGCTTCCCTGTGACCTTTATGTTGGCCAGCTTCCTCGATGTGCACACGGCATCTTTTTGCCGCGCTGATCCACTGGTAAACTAGAAAAACTAGAAAAGAACTAGGTGACTGGAAAAGAAGAGGAGGCAAACCCACCTCGCAGCGGTAACACTGCACGTGGAAGTCGCGGTCCAGGGCCACGATGCGAACGGTTTCCTCCTGGCCGGGCGCCGGCATTATGGGCTCGGAGCACACACAGCAGCGCGGAGCAAACTTCCTGTTGGAAAAGCAAAGGGCAGAACAATAACCGCGTGAGACAACGCCAATTGACGCTAATCTGACATTTGCGAGGAGCCCCGGTGACGCGCTATTACGGGGTTCATTCCCCAACAGTATTAACCCTGAACAAAAAGTTAAGGTGTCCTTCACTTTGACGTAATCTCTTAGCATTTGAAAACCATCTGATTGCTACGCTGCTAAAGTCTAACACTCATTCTGTTTCAAACTATGGAAAAACTGAGGTTTCTGTAGTTCTGAAATACTTTAAGTGTTACCACAGACAAGAATTGACCTATTCATACTTTATGCTGTTTATTTCTAATAGATTCCTGGAAGGGCTGGAGCCAATCACCAAACAAAATTATTATTATTAGTCTGACAACTAGCATATTTACATATTTACATGACATCTACATACAGCCATTTATCCGAGATGTATGTTCATCCAAACATGCAGGCAGCGACTACGTCATGCGAATGGTGAAATAATCTTGAACTTAATTGAAAAATATCTGTTGATGAAAAATAATTGGGTACTAACACCCAAAAATAACTGAAGGCAAACAGAGTACCCAAGATGAGTAGAAATTAGTAAAAGTGAGGATACTAAAATAAAAAGCCCACCCCCCTTTTACAAAAAACACTAAATAAAAGGGTCAAAAACCCCCTAAGTACTGGCAAATAGGAGCAGGAACAGAATCTGGAACTGGAATGTGGAATTGTGCACCTTGCCTGGTTAGACTTTTCTGCCTCTGGTGGCGTTATATCTAAAGATCAAGGCTGTGAAATCCATCTTTATTAATCAGTTTTCTCTTGATCAACTCAATCAGAATTATTGGAACAGTTCGAAACATCTTTTTTAAAACTCAGCCTGTCCCTCTCTTCTCTGAACGTCTGACAAGAGACAAAGTCAAAATTAAAGCATTCTGCAGCACTAATCTAATAACTGGAACTGGAAATATTTAGTTGTCCATGCAATACATTCATGGACAATTAGCAATTCAATGAAAATGTTTACTGCTCCTGTAGTTAAGTCAACTCTTTTTGGGATGACCCTAAAATGTTTAAAAAGGAAAAAATCTTATTCTAATGACTTTTCGTGCTTGCTTTTTTATATTTCCCTGCCAATCACTTCACGACCACTGGTCCTGACCTACCAAGCCTTTTAGCTGAGACAGAATATAAAAGACTGAAATGTCAATTATTCCATCTGAATAATGAAGCCACAGCATGTACTTTTTTTTAATAAAATCCCTAATCTGTCGCGTCTGCGGTTCTGATCTAAATATAGCGACGCTTTTACAACCATTTCATAACCGAGACTTAAGAGAAACGTTTACAGCGCAACGGATTTAAACCAGTAAGTCTGGAATTGCCTTGGATGGGAAGAGGTGTCTCTAACAATAGCGCTGAGGAGGACTGTGAAACCCCACGGTGAGAGTTGAGGTCCTTTCGGGCGACCGTCGGTCGGGTGAGCGCTTCCCCTATTGGGCGCTCGCTTTCGGTGTCTGGGAATCAGGAAGTGGAGGTTTTTTTTGTGCGCCTCTGGGCTACACGCTATTAGCCCGGGCCACCGTTCCTCGACACAAAAGGGCCGCTCTGCGCTGGTCACACTTGTCATGTGAAATTAAACAGCTGCCCGGTGCAGCCACAGAGAAAAAAAAACTATATATACACACACGCGTACGCACAGATGCACGCGCACACACACAAAGACACCAAAAGCCAGCTGCTGGCTTCTGTTTCCTTTCTGGTCAGTGAGCGGAGGGACACTTCTGGTAAGGTGGTGGTTATGCAATCGACGGAGGGTGACTGAATGACAGGAATGCGCCATTAACTTGGGTCCTTGAGTTCACCAGACTTGCGAAATCGTTTGCAGGAATTCCTGTAAAGGAAACCCCAAAACCTCATAGTACTGACACTTCAATATAACTTAATACATGCAGCTTTTTTTTGTTTTTCTTCTTTTAAATAGCCACTCAAAGCCATCTTCCACTGGACACGTGGCGGTGAAACGCACAGTAAGCACAACTCACACGTGTTCACTTAGGAGGCCTCTATGGTCCAATTTGCACAAACAAGTGGTCAATGAAAAAAAAAAGAGCATCCATCCGTGTTTCTATCTTGTTCGTGTTCGCTTTTCCTCATTTACTTTACTTTTCTCTTTACAGAAATTTGGCCCTTTCGCCAACGTAACGTGCCCACGGCTAACTTTCGTTTGTCTTCCGTTGGTGTTGGGCAAACAGCTCAGGGAAGGTTTTTTTTAGAGATTCCTCGCAGAAATCCTCTCAGAGCTCCGAAAATCTTCAGAAGCGAGAGGAAACGCGGCGTCGGATATTCGCCCTGAAGAGCGCGTCTCGTTTGATTTTGGCGATGTGATATTAAAGGTTATGGATGTGAAGTTTGGGAGGAACGGTTGGGAGTATGGATCACAGGCGGTTTTCACACCTGAGGGCGAAGCTGTAATGTCTGCGGTGTACTTTTTACATCATGCCTGGTCCCTGTGTGATCTACTCAGGCACTGTTCATCTCTGGCTGTGAGAGGTGGAAAAAGGCAGACGCAGTCCCGAATTTCACGTGTAATGAACTCCTAACAGGTCTGTATATTATGTAGTAAGATAACAATGTTGCATCAGTCATTGTACCTGGCAAGAAGAATAAAAAAAAAAAAAAAAAAAAACCTATCTGGAGGCAGAACAACAGACATAAACACCAAAGAAAATCCCATTTTGGCTGGGCTGGAAACAAGAAGTTGCATTACGGCTAACAAGGAACGATAAACAAAGAGTTTTTAAAGGTGTGGGGTTCTCGCTGTCTCACTGCCGTTTGAATCCCAGCTGGGGCCTTCCTGTGTGGAGCCCAGTTTCCACGGGCGGCTCGAAAATATGCCCGTTTGGTTAATTGGTGATTCTGAACTGACCCTCAGAAGAAAGCATGCACGTTTTCCTTGATTTGCGTAAGTGAGGATGTTGTGATGAAATGATGACTGTAGCCCGACCTTTTGCCTAATGGCTGCAAGAATAAACCTCAGCACCTCAAAAACCTAATTAGGAAGAAGCAGCTATGGAAAAGAAATGGATGGAGTTTTGTGCTTTGGCCTCTCCATGCAAATATATGAATTTTCATATATATGTTTTTTAATTCCATCTGGAAAATCTTATATAATTCAGTCAGTAACACCTCAAAAACTATAAATCCATACTGAGAAGTCTACCCCTGCCAACAAGACACTCTCCTTCTTATTATTAACAGACCCCATTTAAACTTTTGTGACATCAAAACTGAAATATCGACTTTCTTTTCATGCGGGCGAACATATGATATCATTTTCTGACATGAAAGGGAGTCTGGTTTGTTGCAGAGAGCTATCTGCCATGTCCTTCTTTTAACCCTATAATGCCGAATGTATCATATTTGATACGTACGCTTTCTGAAGTCTTTTGGATCTGAGACTTTTTGCATCATTCAATGGTAAAAGCTTTGCTCAAACCACTGTTGTACACATTCAGATATACCAGATAACAGCCAGTAGAAGACTACACCAAAACATATTTTTTACTTATAGCACACTAATTTTGATCAAAATAATGTCTGTTTTTTTTCTTCATATGTTGTTGAAGGGCCAAAGAAAGACTTCAGACTAAAAAAAATCAATATTCTTCCTATTTTTCTTGGATCGGGCTTTAAAAGGTTTAATGGCTTGAAATACATCAAACACGTTTAAAAAACAACAACACATGCTTGGCAGGAGTTTGAAGGTGGGGTCTTTTTCAAAGTTAATTCTGACCAATCAGGTGAACAAAACCCAACCGGACAAACAATTGAGGGAAAAAGGAACTCTATGAGTTTATATAGAGCAGCTCAGATAACAAAAGGGCAGATTTAGGTGTGTGCGACAGGTTTAAGTTCGTACTTGTGGAAGTCCTCGATGCAGTGGATGTGGTTGGAGGCGTCCACGGTGAAGGGGATGCCGTCCAGGCTGCGGTGGCACACCACGCAGGTGAAGCAGTGGGGGTGGTAGGCCTTCCCCGTGGCCCGCAGGATGCGCTCCATGATGGGCTTGCTGCAGATGGTGCAGGTCTCCAGGGTGTTCTGCGGACAGGGAAGCACACGGGATACACACGTTACACCTCGTTACACAACCGGCCTGATGAGTTGGCCTCCGAAAAAGCCAAACGATTAGCAGGGCTGATTTAAACCAGAGTCAGAATATTTGGAGAAGGCCGAGTTTCCTCCAGTTGGAGGCGTGCGATTTGGAGCGGGCCGCTGCCAGTGTTCCGCTTTTTTTTCTCCCGTTTTGGGCCGCGCGCGACCAAATAAATCCGCACTGAGAGGGACCTTTCGCCCCGGCTGTCCTCAAATGCCTCTGAAGCTGAAGGAATCTGATTAGCGACCCCCCCCCCCCCCCCCCCCCCCCCCCTCCGAACACACACAAACGCGGCCATTTTTCTGCTGCCCTCTCCCACACTCTGTCCTCCCGTATTCCAGACTGCGAGCAGTAAATATCTCCACTTTGTGATGACTGCAGGTTTTTTCTGCAGCCAGGCTGCTGGCAAGCGGCCCGCGGGGGGGTTAAGGGGGGGGGTGGGGTGGGGTGGGGTGGCGACCGCCTGCCTTTGACTTATCAGTGGCATCTTTAATCATATCTGCGGAGATGTGCCATTAGTTATTTTGGGGTTTTCATAAATAATGGCTGTCCCTCTTAACAGCGATGCAATCACAAGGGGGGTGGGGGGTGTGTGTGTGGGGGGGGGGGGGGTATATCATGTAAGGGTGATCAGTGTGCGGCCTGATGAAGCCAAGTGAGAGCTGATGGGGCCCCCCCCCCCGCTGTCACTGGTTCCCAGATCCAGGCATTTCCTGGATCTGTGCTGCCTTTTCTGCCCCCTCCCTCCCTCCTTCTCCCTCCCTCTATTTCTGTGCTTGGCTGGGCTAAAGAGTGCACGGTTCAGCTGCTCCCATTGGCCCCCGCCGTGGTAGCGAGCCGCCTCAGTGTTTCCAAACACAGCTCGGGGTGTATGGCAACACTGCGCCGCGTCATCCGCCGCCCCCCCCCCCTCCCGGACGCGCCGCCGGGGGCCCGCCGTTTAAATTGACACTTATGTGACCGCTCGGCTGAGGTAAACTTCCAACCAATCCCCCCCTCACCCCATCACCCCCACCCCTACTCTGTCTGCCAGCACCACACGTGCACTGACATTTTACAGTTTATATGCTAATGAGCTGGGGAGCTTCTTACGAGACGAGGGGGTCAGTGAAACCGGCGTTGTAAAACGGCTCCCGACATGATTCTCGCAGGAAAAACGCCGGGGGCCGAGAGGGCACGAGAGGGGGAGAGCAGCTGATGTACGACTTCAGGCCGGAGGGTGAAAAAAAAAAAAGAAAAAAAAAGAAAAAAAAAAATGGTTAAAAAAACGGTCGTTTATACAACGCACTCCTGGGGGGTTTTTTTTTTAAAAAAAACGAGGGAGAAAAACACCAACATTTTTTTTTTTTCCCCCCCCCCCCCCCCCTCTCAACCCCCTCCAAGACGGTAATAGAAATAAACATTATTCCCAGGGCTACATTTGTGTATAAACAATGTCCATATTGCAATCCTCCGCGATCCTGGAAGTGGAATAAAGCCTTTAATGAGCTCGCTGCGCCGAACCCTTGAGGTTTGCACACACACACACACGCAAAGAGGTAGAGGAAAGAGGAGGGGGTGGGTGGGGAGGTGAGGGGGGGTTACATTTGCAACCTGAGAATCTGAGTAAGATACCAGGGCCAAACAGCACGAATCCATCCGCAACTCATCTGTCTGCGTTTTTCTACTTACTTATTCTCATCTGGCCTGCATGTGGGAATACCTTGCCCTTGTTTAGCTTAACTAGAGCATATGATTTCACAGCACACTGTTCCTTGGGGCCACTGTAATGAGTACAGTACTCAAAAGACAAAAAATTTCCTCTCTTTTTTTCCCCTCAGTTGGTAGGATTCTATGACCTGAATTCAATCGTTTTTTTTTGCCTCGGCTTCTGTTGTTCTTGCGTCGTCTGCTTTTGTTTTTTGGGGAGTCGGCTACGTTTTAGTGCACGCTCGTACAAACCCAGGTCCGGAATTCTACAGATTTTTTTTTTTGGGGCCCTTTTGCGTCAGACATTGAGCCCCTTTTCAGTTTCCCCCAGAGGGCTCTTTTCACCGTCTCCTTTTTTTTTTTTTGCTTCCCCCCCCCCCCCCCCCCCCACCCTCCCCCTTAACTAAATGTGATGTATTCAAGCATATGTATTCTCTTCCCCCCCACTTCCTCATACATTTCTCTAAGTGTTTGCCCAGAAGGCTAAACAAATGTCTAGGCAGATGAGGTAAAGCGAATTTAGGTCAGACAGCCTCCTGCTGACCTGAGGGTTGAGCGGAACGCGTTAAAGTCAATTGTGAACGTGTTTTTTCTTATTTTAAACTCTTTCCGTTCGCTACAAAGTCCTCTCGAAACACCAAACACTGCCGACCAGGTCTGGGCCGGCCTTTAAACGTTTAGCACCGGTCCCTCAAACCGCGTTTGACACAGCTGTCTATTGGAAATGCTGGTGGCTTATAAAGCGTGTATCAAAGTCTGGAGATCCTTCGTGCGTTGAACTGAGAGACAAAGACGGAGATAAACAGTTATGCAAAACAGAATATACATCATTAAGAGTCAAGTAGGCCAAAAATTATTACTTTAATGTGTTTCTCCAGTCAAAAATGAAAAATCCTTTTGTAGATTTTGGATTTATTACATCAAATTAAAGTAAAACAACTTGATTAGATACTAAGACATCCACATAGTGGATAAGATTTCGAGCTTGATTAATCAATAAACTAGAGGGATAACATTTCAGAAAATACTAAAGAAAATCTTCACACGGACAACCTTCAAAGGTTTAATGAAAATACACTCACAGACTCGCTGTGAGGGACCGAACAGTTTTTTTCCTCTTTTCTTTCCTCCCTTCTGAAAATACTTCAAATAAACGAGTCTGTGGTCCCTAACTCAATGCAACACGTGTACGGTTAAAAAAACACGGGTGCAGCAAAGACGTGTGAGGGGGAAAAAAAGTAGCTAAAGCTGTGCGCGTCTCCTCCACTCCCCGTCAACACGCGTTTTACACCTATCCGTTCTCTGTTTTTTTTTTTTGCACATGGCCGAGTGGGGCTGACAGGAGGGGCCGGCCTCGGTTCAGCGAGACCACACGCGATTTATGTCCTGGCACGCTGAGCTCGGAGTGAGCCAGACGTACAGATGATCTGATTCTGTGTGCGCTTGCGTGTGTCCAAACCCCTCAAAGAATGCGATGCCAGGCCATGCCGTGAGTATTAACTACACCCTACTGGAGGGCGGCTCAGCGATATCTAACAAGAGCCAGATGAAAGATGGAGCCGCGCGCTGACACTGCCGCCTTTGGTCTCTCCTTTGGAATGAATAAGGGATACTGAGTTGTTGGTGAACTATGAGTCAAAACACAGACCCTCTTTCATCCTGAGGGAAGGTGTCTGCTGACTTAATGAACCCTGACAAGCAGCTTTTCTCCTTTTGATTGCTTAATATGGGTCAATCAAGCAGGACGAAAACAAAAACATTTAAAAAAATCGGAATATGGATATTATTAACTTGAGAACCGGTAATGTTTTGTTAAGTAAAAGAAATATACATATATATAGAAGCTGTAAATATAACAAGCACACAAGATCATCGACTGCAACTTGATGTAAAAGCTGCACACAACATCCAAATTTCAGAAGATTTGGGTGTCACTAAACTGTGCTGCAAAAAAATAAGACCCACTTTTCTCTCCACAAACGAGCTGGATGTTTGCCACGTGTTTGTCACAGGCCGTATAAAGGAAACGCTCCCGGTCTCGTTCATTAAGAACGCGTCGAAATGCGCCGCGCTGTTCGTTGGACTTTATTATAAATTGGAATCCCAACGCAAGCAACTCTTAGAGAAAATGACCTTACTGATTTATTAAATCATTTCTGAGTTCATACCCTGAATGACTACTTTAAAGCTTATTTTAATATAGCAGGTTGCTTTTGTGTATTGCGTTGACGGGTCGCTAACCTGCTGACTCAGGCTGAAACAGTATCAATGAAACAGAATCATTGGTCAAACCCATAAAAATGACTGACTGGCAACTTGACCAGGGTGCACCCCACTTCTTGCCCATTGACAGCTGGGCTAGGATCCAGGATCCCTGCTTGGAATAAACGGTACAGACGAGGGATGGGTTGATAAAAACCGACTGCAAAGCCCACAAAGCGGGCGATGACATCACAGCTACGTCCGACAATCCTCGGACGTGGGCCGCTGTTTCTCCCAGCGGTCCGGGAAGCATATTTCCCACACACCAAGTGTTTACAAGACGAACATCTGCAAAAAAACGGAAACACGAAGAGAACGAGTCTAATTTTAGACCGTTCGGTCCGACAGCGTTTTATGGAACATTTCTCAAAGCTCCAGAAAAAGTGCCGGAGGAGGAGGTGGGGGGGATCAGTGGGCCGGGGTAACGGACCTGTTCACGTATTCTGGGTATCGTCTTTCTTTTTTCTGGCCCCAAAAAGAACCGGCGCATGAGAACTGGTCGTGAACTCCATTCGAATGCTACTGGAGCGAATAGATCAAATTAAGCTTGTTCAAGGGGTCGAGTTATGATACGGTGTAAATGTGATGATGTTTCTGGAAGTGGCATTGCAGAGTGTAAACACGCGGTTAAAATGACCCCACAGCTCAGCACTGTTTTTGCTAGCACGCTTAATATCGGGCGGGCAGAGGCAGTGGATTAGCTTCTTGGCGGGAAGCAGTTCCCTGGAACGAGCTTGGGATGTCTCACCCAGTGGTACAACAGCTTGGGTTTTTATGTACAGAGATAAACATATGGGGTAGAACCTGTTAATGAACCAGCTTTAGTGCATCAGGTTTAACTTTATTATGTTTGTTTAGCCCAGATAAACACCCGTTTGCGATGGCTGTTGGACACAGACTGGTTACGACTTAAGTTGGAGCATTGTATTGAAATAGTATTACTATTTTGTCATCATATACACAAAAAAATACCGTGACACTTGCTGACTGATGCAAGTTATGTGCATGAACTTTTCAAAAATCCAAGTGTTCTCATAAGAGTTTCATTATATAATACATAAGGAAAATCAACATATTCTCAAATTCCTTTTAAACACCTTTAAAATGGTTTTAAAACTGTTTTAAAATACTTTTAATATTTTGAATACTTTAGAAAATATCAAATACCTTAAAAATATTCATACTTTAATACTTTTTAAATACTATCAAACTATTTTTCTTGTCATGAAACATATGATCAGACCAAACGAGACATTTTAAGATGTCCAGTCCAAAATCAAAAAAGGGAAAAAAGTTAGCTTAAGTTTCTATTAACTGTATTCATTACCTATCTATTTATTAAAAGGC